CTAAATTTTAACCAAACACAACACCTTTCTTTCTTTCTTTTCCCACCCAGTGTTCTAAACGGCGCTACCTCTGTCTCTCTTCTCGTCTCCATTCCAGCCCTTCTTCCTCTCACTCTCTCCTCTCCTTCTGTTTGAAAAACAATTCCAGAAACCTCAACTGACTCCTCTGACACATTAAAAGTTACCCTCCTCTGCCTTCTCTCTCTGACTTGCTCGACATTCTCTTCCAAAACCTCTATCTCTTCACTAGCTCTCAATTCTTCTTCCCTCTTCCTCAACGCCTTCTCCACTTCCTTCTTCATCTCTTTTCTCCGTTCTTCTCTGAATGCTCTCTCTCTGTCTTTCCTGGCTTTATCCATATCTATATAATCCATCTTCTTTCTAAGTTTTCTAAATGACTTGTTTCTGTCTTTTCTCTACCTTATATGCCTTTTTCGAGTCGTGAAGCCCGATGTAGTTGATATGGTCATCCCTTCCTAACCCTAAACAAAGTCACAAAACCTGATATTTGACTCTCAAAATGATTTCTATTTCATCTTTTCAATCTCCAAGATACCACGATAAGACAAGTTACTGAAAAATTTGCAACTTTTTCACTCTTTTTCAAGATTTTTACCAAAATTCCATCAACAGAACATTTCATACTGCTCTAGCATGTGACCTATTTAACCCTAGAAAGTTGATTTTTTCAGATTCCTTAACATTTTTTTCACTCTTTTTCAAGATTTTTACCAAAATTCCATCAACAGAACATGTCATACTGCATTAGCATGTGACCTATTTAACCTAGAAGGTTGATTTTTTTAGATTCCCTAACACTTTTTTTTCACGAATTCCAAATACATGGTTTCACTTTATAGCCAAGAGATTTGCTTCAAACTTTATATACAGATACAGTTTTTTATTCTCTATCAATCTTTGCAATTTTCAGCTTTTTAGCTTTGCAACTTTTTGCACATAAACAAAATTGCAAAAAACCAGGTTTTTCGTCATCTGCCTAACATTTCATGCATGCACAAAGCCAATTCACTCCTGTGTCCCATCATCAAAGTCTCAAATCCCAAATGTAACTCGTACTACCCGGTTGCCGTGCTTTTATACTTCATACACAGTCTTAGCAACCATATTCAAAATGGCCGCTGATACTGCGCATATCGAAATTTGATGAACATAAAGTCCCTATTGCCATCTCAAAAATCCAACAAAAAATTAAAGTGCTCTTTGACACTTGCATGCAGCAAGTTCTATCTATTGCGCCATGCTTTTACGCCTGAGATCGTTCTATCATTCTGCAGTTCCGTGCCAAGTTTCAAGTCTATCCAACAGTTAGCAAAGAATTGAGAGCCAAAGAGATTGGTCATTGAAAACATGCTTTTGGCACTTTTGGCCCTTTTGGCACTCACTTTGGCCCTTTTGGCTCTTTGACCCTTTCAGCATATTTTGGCATTTTCAGTAATTAAATCAAATAAAACAAAGTTCATTTAAAATATTTTATTTTTAAACAATTACACACCCGTAAACACAGCAATAGGTGTCTTCATCTTCTTCCTCTTCTTCTTCTCTTTCAGCCACTCTAAACTCTACCAACCCTTTTATTCTAGCCCTTCTCTCCTTCACCCTCTCTGGTACCTCCTCTCTATCACGCCCATAGCCTACTGCCCAATCCTCATCATCCTCCTCCTCTAAATCATCTCTCCTCCTCTCTCTTCTCCCCTTCACCTCTTCCTCTATATCCTCCTCTAACACCTCTATCTCTTCCATCTTTTTAAACATGACACTCCTCTCTTCCCTTCTTTTCTTCGCCTCTTCCTCTCTTCTCTTTCTCTGCCTCTCCTTCGCCTTCATGACCGCAGCACCCAATTTCTCTTTTGTTACTTTGACGTCCATTTTTACTTTTCTCTATGACTTGTTTCTTTCCAGACAGTCCCTTATATTCCTTTTTCGAGTCGTGAAGCCCGATGTAGTTGATGTGGTCATCCCTTCCTAACCCTAAACAAAGTCACAAAACTTGATATTTGACTGTCAAAATGATTTCTATTTCATCTTTTTAATCTTCTAGATACCACGATAAGACAAGTTACTGAAAAATTTGCAACTTTTTCACTCTTTTTCAAGATTTTTACCCAAAATTCCATCAACAGAACATGTCATACTGCATTAGCTTGTGCCCTATTTAACCCTAGAAAGTTGATTTTTTCAGATTCCTTAACTCTTTTTTTCCACGAATTCCAAATACATGGTTTCAATTTATAGCCAAGAGATTTGCTTCAAACTTTACATACAGATAAAGTTTTTTATTCTCTATCTTTGCAATTTTTAGCTTTTTGGCTTTGCAACTTTTTGCACATAAACAAAATTGCAAAAAACCAGGTTTTTCGTCCATCTGCCTAACATTTCATGCATGCTCAAAGCCAATTCACTCCTGTATCCCATCATCAAAAGAATTTTTGGCCCTTTTGCCCCTTTTGCCCTTTTTGCACTTTTGGCCCTTTTGGCTCTTTGACCCTTTCAGCATATTTTGGCATTTTTCAGTAATTAAATCAAAATAACAAACTTCATTTCAAATATTTTATTTTTAAACAATTACACACCCGTAAACACAGCAATAGGTGTCTTCTTCTTCCTCTTCTTCTTCTCTTTCAGCCACTCTAAACTCTACTAACCCTTTTATTCTAGCCCTTCTCTCCTTCACCCTCTCTGGTATCTCCTCTCTATCACGCCCATAGCCTACTGCCCAATCCTCATCTCTCCTCCTCTCTCTTCTCCCCTTCACCTCTTCCCCTACATCCTCCTCTAACACCTCTATCTCTTCCATCTTTTTAAACATGACACTCCTCTCTTCCCTTCTTTTCTTCGCCTCTTCCTCTCTTCTCTTTCTCTGCCTCTCCTTCGCCTTCACCACCGCAGCACCCAATTTCTCTTTTGTTACTTTGACGTCCATTTTACTTTTCTCTATGACTTGTTTCTTTCCAGACAGTCCCTTATATTCCTTTTTCGAGTCGTGAAGCCCGATGTAGTTGATATGACCAGCCCTTCCTAACCCTAAACAAAGTCATAAAACTTGATATTTGACTGTCAAAATGATTTCTATTTCATCTTTTCAATCTCCAAGATACCACGATAAGACAAGTTACTGAAAAATTTGCAACTTTTTCACTCTTTTTCAAGATTTTTACCAAAATTCCATCAACAGAACATTTCATACTGCTCTAGCATGTGACCTATTTAACCCTAGAAGGTTGATTTTTTTCAGATTCCCTAACACTTTTTTTCCACGAATTCCAAATACATGGTTTCACTTTATAGCCAAGAGATTTGCTTCAAACAGATACAGTTTTTTATTCTCTATCAATCTTTGCAATTTTTAGCTTTCTAGCTTTGCAACTTTTTGCACATAAACAAAATTGCAAAATTGCA